GTTGTTGATCAAGTCCTTTGGCTCGCCCTGGACCCCGACTTGGGGAAGGAAACCTTCCTTGGCTCCAATTGATGTCGTAGCCCCTGCACCACCGACCACCGTCGCTGCTAGGCCTCCACCGGCCGGCTTCGCCCGAGCCCTTGGCGCCACCCCGGACATCCCTGCCCTGGCCGCTGTATCACGTGGAAGCTGTTTGAGCCCCATCGAGCCCTTGCCGAAGCCTCAGTGCACAGCGCCACCGCAGCCGTGTCTACCGCGCCGCCGTTCCACGCACACCGGCCTCTCGGAGCGATGTGACCCCGCTGCGACCCCGCTAACGCGCTCGCGATGGCCCCGCGATTCTGTAGTCACCCTCGTAGCCCAACCGAGCCACCGGAGCGCGTCGCGTGCGAGCTCGCCGCGCGACGAGAGCACTGTCGTGGGAGAAACAGAGGAGAAAGGGGTAAGGAGAAGTAGCAGCCGCGCTGTGCGCACGTTCCACCATGAGCCGTGAGAAACAGGGAGAAGATGCACTTGGTCCACGATGAACCACGCTGTGGTCCATAGACCCACTATGGATAGTCCACCATGGACCATCCTACTGTGCTGAGCCCGTGGACAAAACCCAATGGGTATCCAGCAGCTGACGTGGCACAACCAGAGATTGACACGTGTTGGGCCAAGCCCAGCCCGAATCTAAGCCCGTATCCAGGCCCAACCGGCCCAGTTTGGATCCGGCCTGGTTGACCGTTGACCGGGCCCACAAGTCAGCGACACAGAGCCGCTGGACCCGCTTGTCAGTGGGTGACGTCATGATGATGTCATGCGGGTCCCACTTGTCAGTGACAAACACAACCGAGGTGACGTCATGATGATGTCACGATGACATCATCTGCTGACGTCAGCAGCTCTGGACCCACCTGCCAGTACCAGAACCGAGACAATGATGTCATGCTGACGTCATACTGAGGTCAGCATGCCACATGGACCAACAGGAGCGTGACACGTGTCAGCACGATATTAATTAAGCCTTTTCCCATTTTCAGAAATGCTTGAAACTTCGGAAATTCATAACTAATTCATACGAACTCAGAAAAATACAAGACCCAGACCAAAATTCATCTAAAATCAAGCTCTACGCAATGAACCCATGTTTGAGTGCATTTGTCTCTTTTGAATTTTCATTGCTTTTTGTGTTATTCTATAGACGTCGCTAACGCGACTATAATGCGATCGTTTGCAGACTCGGAGGAGAACCAGACGGACGAGGACCGAGAGTACCGTGAGGAGTACGGAGACGACTACACTGAAGATGCCACATCCCACCCAACCTCGTAGCACCTATTACGCATGGCTAATATAGAACTGTTATTGCTTTACTTTATTGTTATATTCACACTATGATAGAACTTGCATGGTAGTATGCTTACTTGATGGCCTTTACCTTGACGCAACCTTACCCCTGCTTACCCTGCTATTAGGCTAGACACACGCTTGCTGCTATATTTCATTGCTTATTACTTCTACTACGCTTGTACTACATTGATGCGTGGTGGAAACTGGTGTTATCTAGACTATGGGGAGAGTGCTGCGTGTGTGACTTGGGTGCGTGGAGGGTGAGGGTTGTGTCGACCAAGTTGGAATATACGACGAGCCTGGGGCAAGTCTTGCCGCGAGGTGCTACCTGGGCACCCCTGGAAATGGATACCTGTGGTGGGTAAATGGTATATGAGGTGGCCCTGGGTGTGAACCTGTGATGGGAGGAGCCCAGGGTGGAGGTGCTGTGGTGGCACGGTAAATGGAAATCCTGATGAAGACATTCTAGCTTGGTCATCCCTAAGGACTTACTAGTACTCAGATTCACCGGGAAGCCTTACGTACCACTCGCCGTATATGGTGCGGGACGGCCGGACTACTTGGTAGGATATTCCCACTACTGCTAGGTTGATAGCGGACAGTGCGAGGAGGTACGGGGTGCGGAGGATTTCCCCACACCCTTCCGAGACTTCTTGGAGACCTTGTGGACCTGGCTCATGACTCACAGTTTCAGCCACCCCAGACTAGACTTGGGGTGTACCAGGGCTGAATGGTAGAGTGGCATTATCCTAGGCTAGCAAGCGGCCGGAATCAGCCCAGTTGACGACGGTCAGCGAGGAAGGCGGATCTTATGGTTATGTAAAACCTCTGCAGAGTGTATGGTTGATCGATCGATACATATGCCGACTTGTCGACTATGGACCTTTCCTGGGTTTCGCTTAAACTAGATAGTGAGATGAGTCATTCTATTCTTTCCCCTGTGAGTGAGTGTTCGGTCGTAGCCAGGGGCTACGGGCCATGAGACAGTCAGCCTGTTCGGGAGGCCGTATCGTATCGTGGATTATTTACTGTTGGCTGGTTTGGTGTGAGAGAAAAACACTGTTTCCGACTGGAAATTGACGATCGTTTACGAGCAAACGAACAGGCTGAGTGCCAAGAGGGAGTTGGCCTGTCGACTTTGCGATGGTACGGTGGTGATGTGGTGATGATGTGGAGATGGTGGTATATCTATCCCAGGATCAAAACCTTGCTCTGGATAGAAATAGGGTGGAATGGGTGTGGGAATGGTGTTAAAACTTGATCAACTATTATTATATATATACTTGATATGCTAAAATATAGGAAACCCCAGCCTTATAGGTTTCTTTTGAATATATCCAACTTGCATCCAATTTCTACAAAGCAATGCTCATAGGGTGGGAGTGGCCAGTACAAATCGTACTGATAAATTTTGGCACACAAGTTCTGCTGACGAGTATAGCTCTGAGGAGTTGGACGGTTGAGGGGTTCGTTTCTACGCTCGAGTTTGACGATCTTATCTTCAAGTTGTTCTGAATGAATGATATTTTTATTCCGCCAATGCGGCGATGTAATAATTTATGTAATTCCGCACTATTTGTACTATGATATTATCGTTGTATGGATGTGGTATTCGACTGGAATTTGGATAATATGATCTACAACGGTCATAATACACTTCGACTCTGTGGATTTCCTTTCGCGGAAATAAGGTCGTTTCACTGCGCACGTCCACCGACCCATCAGCTGGTAGATCAGGCAGTCGAGATGACGGATCTGGGATCGAAGCAGTTGCTTTGGGCTGTGTTGGAGCGGATCTGGGAAATCCAGGGTGGGAGGAAGGGGTCAAGACGGGGGTGGAAGGAGTCGAGACGCTCATCCCCCATGGGGCCTCTATCCCGTTTCGTCCTGGCCTATATTTTATATTACATGGTTTCTTATTAGCTCATCGTTAATTAAAATTAGACGAGTGGGAAAATTGAGCAAGAGGTGTTAAACTTCTCCATTATTGCCCTCGATGGTCCGAGGTTTGCAGTCGGACTTTCCGAAAACCCACTTGGGATGGTGGCCAGCGAAAGGCCGGACTTCCTTAAACCGCAATGCAACTATAATGAGCAGCCTCTGTCACTGACGCCATGGCAATAATTCCTTGACGACCACATCTGACAGCAAAAGCAACTGCCAGAGGCCCAAGTTGGCCAATTTGCTCCCTAGTTTTCCATTCAAATATTGAGAATGAAAATCAGGGGTAAAGCAGACTCGCCCTGGAGCCTTAATGTTTGCAGTCGCATTAATATTGACACTTGCCCAAAAGAACATCACTAGGCATGTAAGGTGAAAAAGATATGTTAACAGCTACGAAAATTCAATTCAAGACTTCGCTTTTGGTTTAAAAAGTTTTCAAGAATCCCGCTTTGTTTATGGCTGCTGTATACCTCAGTGCCAACGTTGAAAAGCAAAACCAGGCACCAAATCCAGTGTGGCAGTTCACCACCTTCCCCAGCTTGGGGTCACAGTCCACAAGATAAAACTATCTGTTCCAGTATCCGTCTGCAGCATAAAAATGTCTTAGCATAAAGCTATAGCACAGAACCCGGCCAGGTTCAGCTAATGGCTTGACCACTGGCCATTAGGCTATCTCCAACAACATCTAAAATACAAGATCCATTCGTATTTTGGGTAGTGCTACAGGCAAAAAAATTCAATATATATTTAGCATCTTCTTCAACAATAAGACCTAAAAGAGAATTATTTTTGCAAATGAATTTTCAGAAGAGAGAATACTCATATTTGAGATATGCCTCTCAGACAACACAAAATAGATCTCTTATATAGATACTCTATTGAAGACTGATTTTTAATCTCTTACTACTCATTTTAGATTTAGGTGCTATATATTTGAGATGTGCCTCTCAGACAACACAAAATAGATCTCTTATATAGATACTCTATTGAAGACTGATTTTTAATCTCTTGCTACTCATTTTAGATTTAGGTGCTATATAGGTTTCTTGTAGGAGGCGGTCTCGAGGCCTTAAACAACACAACCCCAGCCCAGCCGGAATCTAACGCAAACTTAATTAATTTATTCCCAGCAAACAGCTGAGTGAGACAAACAAGCCAAGCCCCTGCACATCAGCAATCAGTCATCCACATCTTTCTCGATTTCTGGTGCCACAGATCGCCGGACTTGGCCGGCACCTACCATTTCCCGAAAAGAAATGTTGCGTAGAAAGCGAAACCGAGTGCTTCCAGACAAAGAATTGCAATATATAAGCACACCAATATATATATATATATACACACACATAATACATAACATGCAGTACGCACACTACAGTCCAGCAGGCATAGGCAAGGTAAATTATTGAATCAGTCTCAAACTCGCTTCCAATCATACACGCACCATGCAGCAACATACTATAAACATTGTCATAGCTAGAGTTCAACTGGCAAAAGCATATATATGTAATCTACCATATATAACTACCGCGAGAAAACGTAGCGGATACAGGTAGGAGACCTGCCATGAAAACAAAACGAATATGAGACGCCTCCATTCACGGCAGAAGTGATCTTCTGCAAGAGATGTGTGTAGGGAAAACAAAATGAACAAAATAGCCAGTATGGATGCCTTACATTTTTCGCTGTCAACACACCACACTGATAATAACCATAGCTTCTCATTAAGCACCAGCCATGAGCAGCTCATCAAGGCTCCAGATATCCCCATTGCTTGCCCCATCCTGTGGAATATCAGTTTGCTCCATTGATGCATCTGTTGAGCTGCTCTCAACATAAGGCAATGGCTGAAAGTTCATCTCAGGATCAAAACCAGCCATGACTTGTGCGAGACTGGGAGCGCCATTTCCCTGAAGCATGGCTACACCATAGTTGTTCCTCATTCTCTTTGACACTCCACCTTGCATGTAAGATGCTGGTATAACATTATTGGGAGCAAAGACTGAGGTGTAGTCTGAGGTCATGGTGTCATCGTCCCACCCAAAGTCAGAAGAGCCATAGGAGTTGCTGCTCTGGTCAGAGAGCATGTTAGTCGCAGATCTCTTACGGGGCACCAGAGGTTTCACTGAAGGGAGGAAACTGGCACCCTCAGCTGGCTTCACAGGAACCTTATTGTCATTGAACGCAAACATTGCGAACAAATCATTGTTATCATTGCTCAGGTTATTGAAAACCTCATTAGCACAGGCCTTTGGGGGTAGAGCTAGCTTTGTTGCATTCGCAGCAGTTGGCTTTGCAGTTGACTTCTGAGCACCTGGCACTTCATCAGGAAAATTGACCTTCGCTTTATTTCCACGGATCTTGCGAGCTTCAGCGTCATATGCCCTAGCTGCCTCCTCAGCAGTGTTGTAAGTTCCAAGCCAAACACGGACACCCTTGCTAGGGTCTCTGATTTCAGCTGCCCATTTGCCCCAAGGGCGCTGGCGGATTCCCCTGTATTGATTCTTCCGGTTGCGCTTTACCGAGTTAGCAGTAGGTCTATCTCCTTGAACATCCTTTGGAGTCATCACACCATCTATAATAAAGGCTGTCTATCAGTCCATCTCAACAAAACATATGGAATAGGCATGTAAAGAAGTTAACATATACTTGTATGAGCAGATAATTAATAACACATACAGAAGAACTACAATAGCTAGTTAGCCACAGATAATAAAAATACAATCAATATTGGCATAAGGACAAATCATTATCGAAAGGCATGGTAATCTAGTATGCAATATTGTTATTGAATTATCCCAGCATCTAGAAAAAGGATCCCACACTTCAATAGATGATGAATCTATGTATTATAATAGATTGATTTATATGTTAGTCATGGTTTCCCGTTTTATGTCCCAGTTTCACGAAATTACATCATCAGATAAAAAGCAGGTGACCAGGAGATGGACACCATCCACACCTAGCATGAATTGTTTGTAATCAACAAACAAGTACTCTACTTTGTAGGTAGTTTGTTCGGGTAGCTGAATTGGAGAATAGTTAGCAAACAACAAAGAGGTTGAAGCATAAATGATGTCCTTTTCTCAGACAACTGAAGAGTAGAAGCAATCTCTGGTACACAAATTGCCCATGAGCATATGCTGCCAATAAAACAGCTTGTTGCACTACAAGAAGAACATATAGTAATTTTCTAGATCTATTGCAATAAGTGACCTTTGAAGATCCATCGAGATCTTCAATTAACACAGATTAGAATACCTTTTTTAACTAATTAACTTCAGAATCATGAACATGTAAATTAGAAATTAGAAGCAATTAAATTCTTGTCTTGACATGTACTTATTTTCATAATTGTTCAATAGATCATTTATGTTAATCGTAAAATCATAAAAAATAATCAACAAATCTGCCTTGCTTAAATCTGGAGTTAGCACAACGATATAGATAACACAGAGCAAAGCACATGGACTACCTTACGAACTAGTAGTAAATAATTTCTCCATTTGTAGCATAATATGTTACTCCAGACAGAGCAGCTAGTGGATTGCATACGAAGTACCAAGGCAGCCATCAGTTCCCACTGAAAGCCTGAACAGCCTTGCCCACTCCATGCTAAGGCTAACCAAAAGAATAGAATTTAAATTTCGTCTTGCAGCTAGAAGCCCTGTTTGGCAGCACCCGCAGCTCCATGGAACCCCGATTTTCTCCTCATCATCCAAAGGAGATTCGAGAAACAGCGCCGCAAAAGAGGTCATCTTTCGTTCGCCCGTCTAAGCACTTAAGCAGTGTGTGTGCCATATATAACGAGAGAAAAAAATTTAGCGACTTTAATGCGGTGCTCAGTGCTCACCAACTGCAGGGCGCGGCGCCTTAGCCGCGGCGGCGAAGGCAAACCTCGCCGGCTCCGGCGGAGGAAGCTCCTGGACCTCGTCCTCCCCGCCTTCGCCGGCGCCGTCCACGTCATCCTCGCTGAGACCGCGCTCGTACTCGCGGAAGTCGGCCTCGAAGTCCTCCTCCTCCTCCTGGGGCGCTCCCTTCTTGCCGGGCCCCGGCCACAGCAGGTCCGCCGTCACACGCCGCTGCTGTTTCTTCTTGGCGGCCGCCGCCGCCACCCCGGACGGCGGGATGAAACCCGAGAGGATGGCGCCGCCGCACATCGCCGCAGCGCAGCGGGGTGGTGGTGGATGGATTATTGGTGTGGCGGACCGGGGGAGTGGAGGGCACGAGCGGCACAGTGACGAGCTGGGAGAAAAGGAGGCCAGGCAAGATCTTGGCTTTGGCTGCCCCTCTTGCTATCGGTGAGCGAAGGAGTGGGGGTGGGAGGCGGAGCTGGGGAGATGGTAGCTGGCCACGCTACTACTTATAATCGGAAGCGACGCTGACGCACTTAAGATTTCAGAATCTGAATCTTAACTCGGCACCATCGCTGGCGCCGAGGCCTTGAGCTCGACGCAGATATAGTGATGACTTAACAGGTAGCTCGGTGCCATAGTTCCTAGCGCCAAGCATAGCGCCGAGCTCGGCGCCGAACTTGGCACCATGATCTATGGCGCCGATGTAGTGTTTTAATCCCGGCCCCAACCTTCCTGTCCGAGCCTTCTTCCTCTTCTTGCTCCTCCCTCTCGGATTTTTTGTCTCCCCACTTTGTTCTACCTCACGAATCGGCATATTGGACATTGAAAACTTTGATTTGATCTGTAGATCTTCAAGAGCAAGGTATCCTCTCTCCCCTCCTAATTTTTTCGTATCGATTCGATATATATTAGTCGGATTTTTCAACCTAAGAATCGTCAATACTTAAGGTTTTATGTAATTTTTAATATTTATATTATACAACCGTAGGATAATGCCAAGGCGTGGAAATGTTAGCAAACCTAGGTAACCACAGCGCATGTTGTTATGTTATGAGTTCATTGTTGTGCATCAAATGGGAAACCCTAGGTTTAGGGTTTAATGTTAATTGTTTTCGGTTCTTAGAATGAAATTTGTTGTATTGTAGTTATGGTTCTCATTGACATTAATTTGTGATGTTTTGATTTTTGTTTGTTAAATTACAACCGTTTTGCTAGATGCAAGAAATCTATCGGGAGGAGTTTGGATAAAAACGGGGTCGTCCTCGAGAATTATACCCCGATGCGTCTAGGAAAGATGCCCCCATACCTCCTGATCTCCCTGTCCCTAATTGTGACTGTGGTTTCCCGGCCGACGTGTTTCAATCGAGACATCTAGACACAGCGACGCGTTGCTTCTACACATACAGTCGTTTTAATGTAAGTAATTGCTTTCACTATCTTTTTTTCTTCATTTGTGTAAGTAAGCAACTAATAGTTTGTTTAAATCTTGTTGTGTAGGACTATGAGAGGTGTCTTTTCTTTCAGTGGATCAACAGTGCAGAGAAGTTTGACCCTAGGTACCTCCTTTTCGACGATTGGTGTAGAGGGAGACATCCACGTGAGCACTTCCAGCGTTGGGTTCCACCCCCTAACCCCCTGCTAATGACGACTAAGGAGAAGAACTTAGTCGCAGTTAGACGACTCGAGGAACCTCCTCTGTGCGAATGCGGAGATCGAGCTGTGATAAATCCTGAGAATATATTAGAGTTTGTGTGTCCGAACAAATACGAAGTAAGTGGAAAGTGTATTTGTTTAAATGTTTATCTCTATAGGTGTGCGTGTACTAATGTATTCTCTTGTAGCGTTATGGATTTGCGAAGTGTCGTTTCAATGAGTGGCTCTACGGTCCTAAGAATCAATGGTCGGAGCCACCAAAGACAAAGAAAAAGAAGAAAGAAAGGTTAATTTACAAAGCACCTCCAGTCAAGTGCGAATGTGGTGTTAAATCTAATACGGTCTAGTTCCTTCGGAGCTTAGAATAGGTCATTATTGCGGCCATATGGTTGACTATAATGAGATTGATTATTTTTATGGTAAACATGAAATCGTATTTTGTTTCTTTTGCTAAGACATATATGATATAATTTTTTATTTGAACAGAGCACTAAGAAATGCAGGTGAAAATGTTATGATGGTCAAGCTAAGTTCTTGGATGAACTAAAGGGGAGGCAAGTAATTGCACGGAAGAGAGGATACAGACCTGACTACGTCAACCTATTCGTTAAACATCACAAAAACAAAGATGGGTGAGTTTGCTAGACAACGCAGTATTCATAATCCGATCGATGTTGGGCTTGACAAATAGGGATTGGAGAGACGGAGGACGTTAGAGGAGGAGAGGGCAAGGAAGAAGGCAAGGGAGGAAACAAGAGTACATATGCAGGTCTTGAACGAGCATGTTGTTGCATTATGTGCCAGTGAGTGCTTGAAAGCGTTTTTTTCGTTGCCTGATTTTAAATGTAATATAATCGTGTTGCTAACTGATTGCATTTTATACATGAAAGGATTGGATGCAGCGAGGACCATGCCGCAGAGGTGGCTCATGCAAGGTATGAGGAAAAAAAGTTAGATGAGCACAGAACGCGAGCTGGTCGCACCATTCAATCACCGATTGTGTTGTCTGATGAGGGGGACGAGGATGAGGACGACACTGCCAGGTTGAGCGATCTCATCGTTGTTGCTGAGGTGAGCTTGCAAGCAGAGGAGGTAGAGTATGACACTGGCAGACTGAGCGAGCTCATCGCTCTAGCAGAGGCAGGCTTGCAGGAGGAGGAGGCTGAGGACGCACTGGCAGATTGAGCGAGCTCATCGCTCTAGCAGAGGCGGGCTTGCAGGCGGAGGAGGCTGAGGATGACACTGGCAGACTGAGCGAGCTTATTGCTCTAGCAGAGGCAGGCTTACAGGCGGAGGAGGATGACGACGCGTTCTTCACTCAGGCTGTAGAGGCCGCAGATAAAGTAGAGGCCGCTTACTACAGGCGACACGTAGGTTAGTGCAATGCAGGTGAGCCTAGCCACAGCAACAAGGTTGTGGTAGAGGATTGATACTTGGATGATGAGTTGCTTATTCAGTATGTTTCAGACTGAGGATTTGAAAGTGCATTTGCCCCCTATGTGGGTTTGGTGTATTGATGACATCCAAATTAGGGACTAATATGATCTTAATGAGATATGTCGCAGCTATTAGTCCCATAAAAGATTCAAAGAGTTGATAAAGATAAAATGATATCCCTCAATTCTTGAAGTTGTAAAGGCAGACGAACTCAAAGCGCTCTCCAAAGGTTTTATTTTTGTTTTTAAGTTTAGGATCCGCCGCACTATAAAGAGGGATGCAAACTTAGTTGGTCTAAGGAAGATAGAGTGCTCAAGCATAAAAATAAAATCAAAAGAGAGACTCTAACATTCCATGAGCACGTAGAATATTTTTCAGTGACTGTTGGTGTTAGAAGTCCCAACGTAAGCCGAAACTCTCGACCGTCGGAAGTCACGACTCATGCCGGAAGTCCCGACGCCCAGTCACTTAGCCTGCGCGGTGACTGTGGCCGTCGGAACTCCCGACAGTCGGAAGCCCCGACCCAAGTCGGGAGTCCCGACACCTGGGTTTTTGTTGGCCAGCTGTCTGCGCCCGTTGGAAGTCTATTTCATTGTCTGAAAAGGCTAGATTCGTTCACTGTTACTGAAAAGCCTAGATTCATCTGCAAAGCGTCTGTACGATACGATTGAACTATACACGTTCTAATGAATTTACATTTAATCTGTGTACTACATTTGTGCCTTTTTAGTAGTGTAGTATAATTAATGATTCACGGGAAAAATTCGCAAGAGTTTCCCTTGTTTTAGGAGCATCCACAGTTACAAATAGAGACATCATTATATAATCCAAACATTTAATCATCCAAAGAGCACAATGCAACCACAACGAACATCACAATCAACATAACATATCCTGCATAGTCTAAATAGTTCATAATGTCCATACAGTCCCAAATAGTTACAGGAAAGTAACTACAAAATCCATAATAGTACATACTAACATCTACCACAAACCCTCACTGTCTCCTAGTCTTACCCTTACCATTGTGACCAAGAGCGCTGGTACCTGGAGTGTAAGGGTCAGGTGGACAGCGTCGCCTAGTGCCTGGAGGCTGTGTAGGCTTAGTCGAGGGAGCATCCTGGAGCTGAGAGGGGCCAAGCTCCTCGTGCCTCTGGTCCACGTCGTCCTCGTCCTTGTCTCCTATAGCTGCTTGGCTAGAGAAACCTAAGCCTCCTCTGCCTGTGGAAGGAACGTACACGTCTTGCGTCGTGTCTGTCCTGCAACCACAACGAGCAGCCACATGGCGTAGCCGATGTGACAGCCTTTGTTATACAAAATTATGTTAACTGAAAGAATCTAACATATTAATAATATGTTTGAAAGGATATTTTGAATCTTACATCTAGAAAGCTACGTGTGTCATCGTCCCTGACTCTCCGACAAAAGCGCTCAATGTCTTCAACGGAGCATTTGAGGGTATTGCCCTGCAACAAAGTTCTCAGTAATAATACTTCTAAACAGATAGCAACATGTTTTATTTTCTTTTATACAAGAATCTAACGTATTATAAGGATGCTACGGCTCGAAGGTGGCACTAACTAAAATAGATATCTCTAATGCATAATGTAATGGTATGCAACTTAACATAGAAAAATAAGGCAATTGACTTACCACTCTGTCCAAGATTGGTCCTGCCTCCACCTGCCTTCATGCACGAGTAGATTGGTCGTACGCCGTGTCTTCATCATCAGAGGACTCGATGTCAGCATAGTCATCTTCTGTCTATTGTAGCCTTAGCCTGCAATGTGTCGCACAGTGGTACCAATCTTGGTACTGCCTGAACTCACGGTTCATGTGCGGCTCATTGTTCTTGTCCATGTTGTCGTGCATCTGCTCCCATTGCTCAATGTAGTACTGGTGGTGCTTCTCCCAGTCAAAAATCTTTCTATTCTTCTGATGATCCAACCTGCACGTATGTCATCGTTACTTGAATCAATGTACATGTCACCATATTAATGGAAATGGACCATCATGAGACATTTGAAATAGCAAAACACTTACTTGTGTAAGTCAACACCAGTCGAGAACGGAGCCGTTGGCCAAAGCTATCTCACTCCAAATTGACGTGCAACTCTATCTGGCAGGTGGAACTCGACAGCATAGAAATAGATTAGAGGGCACCTCATCCTATAGAAGTCGTCGTCGCACCCACACATGTTGCTCAAATGAAA